ATATACAACCCCTCACTGCTGAATTTGGAATTATGGATATGCTAATGACCCTGATCAGATTATCATACTTTATAGGTATCAAAACATCACTATATACCCCATAAATATATATGATTATTGTGAGTCAATTAAAAAATTAAAACAATAGGCTGAAGTGGGAAGATCACTTTAAACCAGGAGTTCAAAGTCAGCCTGGGCAGCATAAAGAAATGGGTATTGCCAATAAAGATGAAAGAGATAGCATTTCAGCTAAAAACATAGATTAGTTATTAATATATGGGTATATATATGTATTACCAGTAGAAATAATACCAGTGATGATTTAGTGAATGCACCATAAAAATGCAAACTGTATGGTCTAATTCTATGTAGGGCTCTGTGAACGTTAATGTTGATTTTACGTATTACGTTTAGCAGTTTCTAACATAGTCCCTGTAACTGATACGAACCAAGCCTGCAACAGGTATGTTACTCTCTTTTCAGAATTTCACTACCAACTTTCCCCAATCTCATAGTGGTCATTTCAATATACATTTATGTAACATTACACAGTAGAGATTGAAATTATGATTCTTGGTCATCAATATTGTTGCAGCACATTGCAAATTATCAGAAAAAAAATAATGCCTGCTACAACAATTAAGACATTTGATAACAGTGAAAGCATAGACACAACAAACCTACGGTTCAGAAAAGAAAGTTCAGAAAAGACCAACACAAACGTGAACAGTTTCTTTATTACTGAATTGGCATTACGTTAAATGGATAGATTATTTAATAAATGGTGCTAAGACATAAAAAGGAATCTGGATTTGCTGTCTCACATCCAGAGTAAAAATAAATTTCAGGGGGTGTCATACCTCAAATGCAAAAGACAAAACTATAAATCCCTCAGATTGGAGTAAGTAGGGCATTCGTTATCAAGATCTATTGAGTGCAAACCATTAGAGAAAATATTGACATATTAAATCATATGGAAACAAAGCTCTCTGTGCATCCACCAAACAGTATAAATAAAGCACATG